GTGTTTTAACATTGTCGCAATAAATATGTCATTTCAGTGCACGCATCAATCCGAAAGAGGCTGGCAGAGTGTTAATATTCTACGGATTTTGACGTAAAAGCATGGACTATTCTCGCAGTTACAAATAGCAGCGAAGAGTTGAGAACAAAGTTTGAGAAGTGGAAGGTTTGACTTGTTTATTCGCTCTAATTGTTTTTTAATTTACTTCAGCTTGTTCGTAATCGCTAATATTGTGAAGTCATTTTCTCATTAAAAGCATGCTAATTCTTCAAAATTTTGGGGCTTAGACTACGTTTTTTGCACGACTTCATATGTTGTCAAAATTTATCAAAAACATGCTCGTTATGACTTTCCTAATTGTGTAAAATTATCCTTTTTTTGCAGAAGGAATTGCTCTTCCTTAACAGTCATCAACTAATAGCCTTCCATTTTACTGTGGTCAATGGCACTGAGCCGGAGGATAGCGAAGAGATATTCAGGTAGGATATTAAGAATATTCAACAAGACATTCATGATCAGTTTCCTGAATCACATATTGTTGTATTACAGAAATGTCACAGCAAAAGTGAACAGGGTTCTGTTGGCTTTGCTTTTTCTCTGATCTAATAAGACTGTTAATATCATTATTTGTTTGCAGTAATACATTCCCAGACATTCCGCTGAGTACGTTACGTTTACTTGATGAGTCATCGATGACTGGAGTTGGCCATGGAAATCGTTTCCATCCCGGTCCTGTGTATGCAATTGTTGGTTTTCGAAAATTTGGTGGAAATGTTCTACCGGGGAAAATGTTCCAGAGGAAAAAGTTCTACCAGGGAAACTATTTCAGAGAGAGAAGTTCTACCGGGAGAAATGTTTCAACGTTTCAGATAATTGATTCTTATCTTTTCATATGATTGATTATTTCACAGGTCATAAAGACATTGTCATGAAGATGTGATAAATATTTGGTAATATATAAAAACGGATGATTCATTTGAAGTGTCGAATATCATGCAAAATATGCAAATTAAACAGCCAATTTGTTGATTACTGCATACTTTTTCAAAGTGCAATGCCAAAGGTGCACAGAGCCAGAAGTGCGAATCCGGCTCAGGGGAACGGAACGGAAGTATGATATATGAAGCAAGATTTTATGAAGTATGATCCCAATAACTCCTACGATAATAATTTGACTGTCGGTTAATTGATAGGTCATTAAGTTGGGGATATGCTACTAGCAAATGTATTTGGAGAATAGAAAGAATACCGTAGTTTGTTGTCCGGTGGTAGCGAATATGCGAAGATGTCGTTGTTTGTGGTTTCGTCACGAAGGACATGCGAATAGGATATATTATCTGCTTGACTGTAAAAACTAAACTGTTTCGGATTTTTTCTTATATATATATATATATTTTTTT